TTCAGGGCTATCTTGGAAAACAAATTGGTCACTCTTCTTAAACAGCAGAAGGCCTACTGGCAACAGCGAGGGAAGATCAATTGGGTGACTTTAGGCGACTCCAGCACCAAATTTTTTCACGCCAATGCTACTGTTCGATACAGAAGAAATTTGATAAACCAAATTACAGATGATGCTGGCGCTTCCTTTTCTAATCATGCTGATAAAGCTTCATTGATTTGGCATTCTTTCAGAGATCGGTTAGGTAAAAGTGACTTCTCTGCCATCTTGTTTGATCTTAACCAGCATTTCAATACTCAAATGAATTTATCACAGTTAGTGGAGCCTATCGAGAAATCTGAAATTGACCAAGTTGTCAGATTGCTGCCCTCAGATAAGGCCCCTGGCCCGGATGGTTTTAACACCGACTTCTTTAAGAGATGTTGGCCAATTGTTTGTGAAGATTTTTATCTTTTGTGCAAAGCCTTTTTTGAGGAGCACATATGTTTACAGAGTATCAATGGATCCTTCATCACTTTGATCCCCAAGAAAGATGATCCTCAAAAGGTTTCTGATTATAGGCCCATCTCCTTATTGAACACTTCTATCAAGATAATTACAAAATTTTTTGGCTAACAGGCTGCAGCTGGTTCTCCCCTCTCTTATACACAAAAATCAATATGGATTCATCAAGCTTAGGTGTATTCAAGACTGTCTTGCCTGGTCCCTTGAGTATCTGAACATGTGTCATCTCTCAAAAAGAGAACTCATCATTTTAAAGCTAGATTTTGAAAAAGCATTTGACAAAGTGGAACACCCTCTGATGATGCAAATTATGGAAAAGAAAGGCTTCCCAGTTAAATGGCTTAAATGGATGAAGATGATTTTTGAGTCTAGAACTTCATCTGTTCTTTTAAATGGTGTTCCAGGGAAAGTGTTCCATTGCAAATGAGGAGTAAGGCAAGGGGACCCTTTATCCCCTCTCCTCTTTGTGTTAGCTGCTGATTTTTTACAAACATTGTTGAATGCAGCTTGTATAAATGGAGATCTTCAGCTACCTTTACCCCTACAGCATGATCAAGATTTTTCTATACTTCAATATGCGGATGATACTATGATTTTCTTGCAAGGAGATGTCACTCAGTTGAATTTTCTAAAAACTCTTCTTCAGCAGTTTGGAGAATCAACCGGCCTCAAAGTTAATTTTGATAAATCTTTCATGGTACCCATTAATGTTCCAGAAGATAATTTTCATCATCTTGCTGCTGTTTTTGGTTGCTCTAAAGGCTCGTTGCCTTTTACCTATTTGGGTTTTCCTTTGAGCATTACAAAGCCGACGGTTGCAGACTTCTGGCCCCTAGCTACAAAATGTGAGAGGAGATTGGTAAGTGTCTCATCTTTTTTAAGTCAAGCTGGCCGACTGGAACTTACCAATGCAGTGTTCTCGGCCTTGCCAACTTTTGCCATGAGCACATATCTTCTACCTAAAACGATTATCAAGCAGATAGACAAATATCGCAAGCACTGTCTTTGGCGGGGTTCAGATGCTAATAATAGGAAGCCACCAAAAGCGGCTTGGCCTATGGTCTGCATTCCAAAGGAAGAAGGAGGCCTCGGTGTGCTCAACCTCCACACACACAATGAATGTCTTCTACTCAAGCATTTGCATAAATTTTTCAATCACTTCGACATCCCATGGGTTCATTTGGTATGGGCCAGATATTATACTGAAGGGCGCCTTCCTAGACTTACTAATCATTTCAGAGGCTCGTTTTGGTGGCGTGACTTATTGAAGCTACTGGATTCTTTTAAAGGTATGGCCATGGTTAATGTTCTGGATGGCAAGTCATGTTATTTCTGGTTAGATCTTTGGAATCACAATGTGCTACAGCTAGTCTATCCAGAGCTTTGCTCCTTTGCAAAGGACATATATATTTCAGTCGATAAGGTCCAAGGCACAGCAGCATTACATACCCTCTTCCACCTGCCTCTTTCCACGGAAGCCTATGCCCAATACCAAGAGGTTCAGCTCTTGATACAAAACATCACTGTCCAGCAGCATAGTGATCAGTGGTCTTATATTTGGGGCTCATCGATCTTCTCTTCACGCAAAGCTTATAAGGTCCTGATTGGTCATAGCCCTGTTCATCACGTCTATCGGTGGCTTTGGAAATCTTCTTGCCAGAACAAGCATAAGTTCTTCTGGTTAGTACTCAAAGACAGGCTCAGTACTCGTAATCTTCTGCGACGAAGGAACATGTTCCTACCGGATTATAGCTGTGTTCATTGCCTCAATACTACAGAAGAAACGCTTTTTCATCTTCTAGTAGGCTGTCCCTTTGCTGTAGATTGCTGGAACAGTTTAAACCTCTCCATGCCGGCGCAACTGGATTTGCTGTCAGTCCTTGAAAGCTTCAGAAGTCAGCTTAGAGTACCCTTTTTCATGGAAATTCTAATCACCATGTGCTGGTCCATCTGGACAATTCGGAATGACGTAATCTTCAGGAACATCCCAGCTTCAGTTCAGCGCTGCAAATCCATCTTCAAACAAGAATTTGCTCTAGTTAAGCTAAGAGCAAAAGGAAAGTATCAGCCCCATCTAGATTTATGGATAGAAGCTTATGTGTAATTAAACTTGTTTTCTATGTTTCCTTTTTTGTCTCTTGAGGACTTGTACTGGACCTGTTTTTGTTTTTAATAAAGCACAGTAGGGGGGTTACACCCGTCCTGTTTCAGATAAAAAAAACATAGCTGTAACCGATTTTGTCTCAAAAAAGATGGGTTACACTACCAAATCCTGTAGTGAAATGTTATGTTACTGATCTTTCTATAACAAAGTGCACCTGAGTTTTTCCCATCACTATTTTTGCTCTGGCTTCTGTGTTATTTTTTTTATTAACTGCTTTTATGCTTGAGGGATCTGCAATCCCGACCAGAAAATGTCTATATATTATCTGCCAAGTTGCTTCTAATTCGAATCATCCGAACTACTAATGTAACATCTGTGGTTTCTGTTCATGAATGGAAATGGGGAGGCCCAGATTGGTCCTGGTTGGATGCTCTCTGTATTTCCAAACTACTCAGGTTGGATGCGGATGAAGCTGTGCACTTGTGTCCTACAAGGAGGACCAGTTGCCAACACACCAAGATGTCTTCCATGGGTACAACCTCGTCTTCGCAACCACGCTAGGCCATGCCGCCGGCCTTGACTACTGATATGAGTTTCCAGTATGGTAGGCAAAGGGCACTAGCATGGTAATCCGAAATTTTGCCATTAGAACACCAACAGTTAAGAAATATTCAGAACTTTTGTATGCCATTAGATGTATGGGTTTTTTTGAGTCATCAAAAATCTCCATTTTAGTCTCTGGAATTAACTGCAAAATCACACTTCAGCATCATCATAGCTGTTGTTATTGTTCACTCCGTTCTTAAGTTTTGGTGAATTTCTCCATTATGTGTTTTGTTCACAGGGCTTTTACAATGCTTTTTTTGTTTCAGGCAGAACGACAAACAGATTAACAAGCAATCAATTTTAGATATGAAATGGACCTGCAAGATATTCTTAAGGCCATATTTCCTTTTGCAATCTCATTACACATTTTTTCAGAGGATCTTTTGGCTAAACACATGTGGAACCATGGATTTCTCTTGCAGGTAACTCCCTATTTTGATATCTCTGATTTCGGTTGTTTTCATTATCCTGCGTTCTTCCATAGTTGTGCCTCTCCCTGTATGCAGCCTTTTCTGATCAAGGGTGAATGCGTTGAGGTGCTGAACTTTACTTAAATGCAAACATTACAGGTTGCTCAAAGTTTGGATCCAGGTGAAATTAGCCCAACATTGGGCAGTAGGGATAGGTATTCTAAAAAGAATCCAGTTTGTATGTTGTCACTATAGTCATCTGATGTTAGTTTGGATAACATAAGTCTACAACCACCCAATATTAAGCAACATCAAATGGGTGACGTAAGCCATCAACAATCATGTGTCATGTGCTTTCTTGCTTTTATTTGCTCTGCTCTTAATACAGAGCTGGGGGTGTTGTTGTGCTGATGGGTGTCTTTGTATAAGACAACAAAGTTATACATGTTTAGTTATTATGCTGTGAATTCAACCAATAGTAGTGTCTTTCATGTCTTTATTATGAACAATTTGATCTGTTTGATGTTAAACATAAATATAATTTTGAGGAATGGCATTATTAGTGAAAGAATATATATGTGTTACGCCAAAAGGATTACCGCAAATTTGAATGAAGTGTTTTGGTCGAGATAATTCATAATAACATCATCATCTAAATATTACACGGGCATACATGATTATTGTCCCATTGCAATGCACGGCCACTCACCTATAATAAGTGAAGACTCCCTTCCAAGATGTTATCATGAGTCGGCCCAGCAACGGCTAGTCACGGAGCGGGAAAAAGGGTGCGCGGCGGGAGTTGGGTCGGTCGAACCAGATTGACTGGGCCGATTGGTTTGTTAGCACGATGTTTTAGTTGGTTAGATTGGTTTTTGACTTAGCAGGATAATTTATATAGTATAGATATATAATGTATGTGTTGCTTGTCCCAAAAAAAATGTATGTGTTGCTAAAAAAAGATACATAATGTATGATTATTCCGTGACTTAGGATATAGAATATATAATGTATGATTATTCTTCAGTACAAATTAATTAAAAACTAGTACATATGTAGATTGCATTGCATAATACTCCGTAGGAGGATAGGACGGATCGGATACACACATATATACAAAATATATAAGATGAATATACATATATGTATATACTTTATTCATTTCTTTATGGTCGAGCTTACATACATACATACATACAATAATAATAATAATATAAATATAAAGTATTACAATGGGTCGGATGGCGTACGCACGTGTTCATCGTCTATATCTATATCTAAATATAAATATAATATAAAATAATAAGTGGGCGCGCGAGAGTATACTCCATTACATACAAATACAACATATATGCATGCGTGGTACGTCTAATAATTTATATATCCGTTGGGCGAAGCAGAAAATCAACGATGTTCCAAGCATCGAGCATACCGTTGACGTTACTATTCTTTTTCACTTTGTCAGCAAGACTCTGATATCGACCTTTAGTAACACCCCAGTGTTTGGTTCGGTCCCACAGAATGAGGAGCGTTGAGAGCGATCCCCAGTCGACAACATACTTTGCCTTGTCCTCAGATATGAAGGTCTCCTTCTCCCAGTTCTTGCCCGAGAATGTGTCGCGGAACACTTTGAACCGCATGGCTTCACAAAACATGACCACACACCTAACCAGCCCGTCTTTGAGTTGGGGTTTGTTTTGTGGCAGAGAGTCGTATCTTGCAAGTCCCTTGGTGGCATGTATGGCCGATTGTTTTCCTAAAGGAACCATCCAAAGATTCTTGTGACCTCCTTCAATCATTTCTCCATAATTCTCTCCAATCGGTAGCTCGATGGCTCCCGCGGGTAAACCTTGGAATCCGCCACTAAACTTGTACCAATGGTTAGTGGCATTACTGAAGCCAATAAGATAGAGATCATCAATAGCTATGGCTAGTGTCACCTTGTCTTCTTTTGGTACGCCCTCAATGTGGATGTAGATCCACCCAGGCGGCTCGCCATGGAAATCGCGACGTTGTTGCCCGAGGACAAATTTTCCAATCACATTTGTGGGGTTATATTTTGGCGTGCTCGGGCGCTGCAGCAGCTCTTTTAGCTTGCTGTACACATGCTGGTAATTTTGAGTTTTAAGGTTAAAATAGATATGGTGGATAGGTGGAGCTGCTAAAGCCAAGCTAAGGGTGCAAAAGCAGGCCACTAAAAATATGAAAACCTTGCGCTGCGGCATGGTTAGCTTAGTTGGGATTGGCGGATCCAGGAGTAGGTGTGGGGGACATGTGCCCGTCCCGGCCGGCGATGAGGGCAGACAGGCAGGCATGCAGGTGCGCAACAGGTTGCTTGAATAATTCCTTTACCTCCCCTTATTATGAGATATATATATATATATACCGCCGCCTGCACAACAGGTTGCATATATGCCGATCGACACACCATATGCATGATCGAGCATGAATGCATGATTCATATATGCCGGCGGCCCGGCCGCATGCATATGGGATGCATGATCCATGAATTGAGGGCCGGATGGATCGCATGCGCAGCGCGCAGATCGATTATCTCATCTCAACGGTGGGATGCATGCATATCGGACGACTCTGTCTCTAGCTATCCTTTGGTTGCCAAGCGACCAACGACTGCGCATCTATCTGTATGCCGCGCCGCCCGGCTGCACTGCATCTGTATGCCTCCATCTCCCTCGTATGCTATACGCATCTTCATTCTCCAGCCGCCACACCTAGCCCCCCTCACCTCTCCGATCCGATCCAATCCACAGGACTTGGAGACCGATCGATGGAGCAGTTACCTGACGACATGCTGGCCAATGTCCTGGGCCGCCTCCCTCCCAGCAGCCTAGCGGCGTCACGCTGTGTCCGCAAGCACTGGTGCTCCATCATCGACGCCCGACGCCTCCTGCGCGCCGACCTCCTCCCTCTTCGCGTCGAGGCTTTCTTCTGCAACAGCTACTTCATATTCAATCGCACGTTCCTCTTCGCACGCCCCACGGCGGCGATCCGAATCCCCGGCGGCCACCTTGACTTCTTCGACGACGATGACGTCTCTCCGATAGCCATGGATCACTGCAATGGTCTCCTCTTGCATTACGACATGGTGGTTAACCCTGCCACACGACAATGGGCCACCTGGCCTCCCGTACCACAACACCTGGATGACTTGTCTCCGTCGTATAGCCGCCACTGCTTTGCCCTTGTATACGATCCCATGGTATCGCCTAATCACTATGAGGTGTTTCTTATCACCTTACCTGGTTCTGGTTATGTTTACAACCACAACGATGGTAGCAGAAGTCGTATCTTCGAAGACGACGACTTTCAGCAAGAATGGCCGCCATCGTCATACACTGTGTATGTCTTCTCCTCCTCCACCAAAGAATGGAGGTGGGAGGAGAGGTCCTTTGTTCGCCGCCAAGGAGGGGAGGCTGTTGGGACCATCGCCGATATGCATATCGACGAATCCAGCAGTAAACACAAGACGGTCTATTTCCGGAGATCACTTTATGTGCATTGTCCAAATGATTCCATCATGAGGTATATATGTATGTTAATTATGTTATGTCAATTACCCTGCAGGTCCCTAATCCATGCATGCATATATGCCTTCAATTAATTAATTCAATGACGTTGCATGATCTACAGTCTCATCTTTAATTAATTGATTTTCAGACTATCTTTGTCCGATGACAAGTACCAAATGATTAAACCACCGCCAGCAGCAGGGAGCAAAACTAAAACTAGTTGTCGTTGCGATGCTTCTTCTTATTTAGGAAAATCAGAGAAAGGGGTATACTATGCGATCCTTGATTTGGATGGCCCCCAATTTCAAGTTTGGTTGCTCACTGAATTTTCTGGTCAGAGTCAGACAGAGTGGGTGCTCAAGTGTAACGTCAGCCTTCAAGCAACGCTGAATTTCGCCCGTCATATTAATACTGAATACGGCGTCGACGGACCATGGATCCTTAACTACGAGGAGAAGGAAGCACAACCTACTGCACAAGAGGAGGAGTTTGCTGAATGGGACTTTGATAATGCTGTTACCGTCCTTGAAACCGAGACCAATGACAAGACGGGTTCAATAGATTTCCTTGGTTTTCATCCTTACAAAGACATTTCCTTCCTTTTCATATCAAATAGGGTAATATCTTATCATTTGAACAGCTCAAAGGTTCAAGATTTAGGCACCATAAATATACCTCAAATGGAAGACGCATTCCCATACACACCATGCTGGATGGGGGAGTTATCTGAAAAGAATAAAGCATAGCCTAATATCAAAGGCAGCTTCAGTTTGGCATCAATTATTATTGTTTATTTTGGAGCAGACTATATATATCTTTCTACTTTATTAGTAGCTTATTAGCCCATATAAATGTAACAATTGATTCCTCCCCACTTGTGCGGGTCTCCAACTCTGGTTTTATCATTATATATAGATCTTCACATCATGTTTTTTTTTGTGGTGATATGATAAATATGCGCGATGTCCTCTTTCAACAGATGAAAAGATAGTCACCAAAGATAACTAACACAGATTTTTCTTTCTTCAAAAAAACTCTAGATAAATTGAGTAAGATTCCCTAACATCATACCATTAGAGTCGAAACTCAAAAGCAGCACTGAGTAGTTGTACGTGAAATAGTCACAGCACAAGACAGAAAACAAGATTTCCAATAACACGACACATTACTTCCTAATGAGTGTGTTCCAGTAACATGACGCATTTCTTCCTAATGAGTGTGTTCAGTAACACGATGCATTTCTTGCTAATGAGCGTGGCAAGAATGAGCACTCCGATTGGTAATGGAAATTAGACCAACAAAATAATACTAGGAGAGTCTTTTCTTTAGCAACTAGATGAGGTGAAAATTTTGTTTCAGCAATGTGTGAGCACATCATGTGCACATTATAAATCAAAAAAGAAGTGCAGAACGTGCAAATTTTCCCTTTGCAAAAAAGTGCAGAAAATGTGCAGATTTTCTCTTTTTTCTCACAATATTGTTACTGAACCAAATGAATTTTCTACAGAAAAAAATGTTCAGAACTACGAACTGAGTGACCCTTCATCACCCAATTCGCAGTTCATTGCACAATGAACTCGCACATAAATCTAGCTGAGCTGCTTTCACAATTCTACACTCGTGCCTTACGTTGTGCTATTACATTTCATAGTGCAAAAAAAAAAAATATTAGGTCTTATCACCAAGGCAATGCTACGGTACCCTCTTTGCTTACTGGGAGGTAATACCTTAAACAAATCCGGACCATTGATTTTATAGATTTTTTTTAGATTTATTTGATTGATTAATTAAGCAACGAAAAGAAAAAAAGAAGAAGTGGGCGTGGGGTGCCCCTGCCTTGTTGGTGAGACCGTGTGGCACCCTTCCTTTTGGCTATTTTACTATATTTAAGCATAGTTTTATTTATATTATTGAATCACAAAAATATACTAATAATAATTATGTTATTTTTTATGAGCTTTCTTTACCACTACGTAAAAAACAGTTTTTAGCAACGGGAGGATTTTTTTGTAGGGGCAGCTGGTGATGGAGCCGCCCCTACAATGACGTGCTCGGGAGCCCAGACACCAGCCGCCCCTACAAATGGAACAGCAGGGACGGCTGGTGATACGAGCCGCCCCTATAAATAGGTCTGATTTGTAGGGGCGGCTCACTCACTAGCCGTCCCCGGAGTTGATATTTGTAGGGGCGGCTGGTGATTAAGCCGCCCCTACAAATGCCCATGTACAGTCGCTGCCCATCCAAAATATCTACTGACCTCTCCTCTCTCTCTCCGTCTCGACTCCCTCTCTCTCTCCCTCGCTCTCCCTCTCCTCCGAGCCCCTCCGTCTCTCCCCCATGCCGCCCTCCCTCTCCCCCACGTGGTGACGGCCGGGACCTCCGTCTTCTCCGCGCGGCGGCACCCAGCGGAGGCGCATGGTGTCGCACCCCCTATTCTCCGCGCGGCAGCACTCGGCGGCGCACCCTAGGGTGGCGGGGGTTCTGGGGCGCGGCCTCCCGGCGATCGCGCGGGGCTCGGTGCCCTCCTCCAGCGCCGGCAGAGCTCGGTGCCGTGGCTCGGTGGCGCGGCCTCCCGTCGAGCTCCAGCAGTGGCGGGACTTGGTGGCGCGCTGCCCTTCACCTTCTCTCCTCCGGCACGCTGCTGGAGGCCGCATGAAGCACATGGTGGCGGCCACCACCAGATCCGGCGAGGATGAGCTCGATCCGGCGAGGACCAGCCCAGATCCGAGTGCCCACCACCAGATCCGGCGAGGAGAAGCCTGATCCGTCGAGGACGGGCCTGGATCCGCTGCTTTGTTTGTTTTCCCCGCCGGCCACCCAGATCCTCCTCGACTGACATCTCCTTTCTCCTTTCCAGGCCGCCTTCTGTACCAGCAACACAAAGGATCGGAGGCTACTCCATCCAGGGCAGCAAGGTAACCCAGCTTCTTCTATATATTTGGATGGTACAAAGCACACTTATTGATGTTTTTGGATGGTACAAATGAGTTCTGTCTTGCATGTGTCCTCTAAATTATCTGTTGAAACCTTTTTGATCGTTAACATCTCTGCTAGACCCCCATGTTGTCTAATTTTCTAATAAGTAAAATAACTTCCTTGGATAAATTTACTTTGATACAACATGAAAAAAGTATTGTATCATGATTGGGCATTTTTTCTATAATTGCAACTTAATTCTTTTAAGAATTTTAGAAATGGATATCCATATTCTAGTTAGGATGGCAATGCTAAGAAAATCATTGAATTTTAGAATCATTTGCTTTATCTTCTGTTTTTTGTGGCAATATTCTTTGCTCTGACCTCTGGGTACTCTTTCCCCAACAAGCCAGACCTAAATGCATGAATACATGTGAAAGATGTGAGCTTTACTTTTGTTTGCTGGATGGCATAGAATGAACAGCCTCCTCCATTATGTGTTGCTGTTGTAGCTTAAATGATTTCTGCAGTCATCTTTACTCCTTGTGTTATTTATAGGAAGAAACATGAGATAATTGTACTTTAGATGACAATGTTGATATATGAGTCCTGAGCAACAAAATGGTTGAACAAATTGCTTCATTTTGTTATAAAAGTTAAGTAGGAATATGCATAGCCTTTTGTGATTCTTGCTTATGTCCAGGTCATATACTGTATGGTATACCGTAAAAAGCTTTCAGCTTTCAAAAGCTAATAGAGAAATGCTACAGCAAGCTGAATGCGATATTCAGGTCAATTCCATTTTCTTTTTTTTTCATTCTCCTTGAACCATTAGGTTTGTTTAGGATCATCATGGAATAATCAACATGTGTTCCTTTTTAGTTACTATTGTACTACATGCGTGTATTGATTTCCCACCTTGAGTTTCATTTGCAGCCACTATGTTCAACCTATAAGTGCCACCTGGTTGGTTTTATTATGTTGCCACTATGATATATGCTCTGGCAGCTATTCTGACAGTAAGTTCAATTATACTATATCAGAACTATTCATGTTGGTAATTCTTACTTTGTCAGGTATTTATGTTAGGGTGGTTAACAGGCAACCCACCCAAAAGTTAGGGGCCAATGGTAGAGACGATGGTCCACTAGTAAGCATTTTTTGTTCTAAAATTTGCTATTCTGTTTATTTTTTTTGCTAAGGCAGTATACATTTTTTACATCATCTTCCTGCATTCATCAGCTACAGTTTTCTATTGTATATCTCCTTTTGCCAAAGGATGGCTAGTCCAGTTGGTTAACTGAGATATGCTAGTCACTCCGGCGGCACCCTTCAGGTTCTGAGTTCGACTTCCAGTGGGAGCGAATTTCAGGCTGGGGGTTAAAAAATCCCTTCGCCGGTTCCGGGTGCCAAAGCACTGGTTTAAGGAGACGGCCCATCTCATGGGTTACGTCTCCCAGTGTCGGGCCGGGGCCGGGGTTCGGGGGTTTTCTCGGCCTGTATGAGAAGGCCTTCTTCTTACGTATAATGTCTGGGGGCGGCTTACCCCTCGCAGGTCGAGTTTTTTTTATATCTCCTTTTGACCTTGAACATTTCTATGTTCCCAGTTAACAGATTACCTTAAGGAGGGACCTAACAAAATTTCTCTATTGAGAAATGACTCTCGTACTTTCTGTTCTTTTTTTATTCTTACCATGCTTGGAGTCTTAGACTTTTGATTATCTTCCAAGTGAATTCCATTCCATTGTAAGGCCTTGCCACCTTGGGAGGATGGCTATTTTATATGCCCAGAAATATTCTATGTGGAACTTGTACATTTGGTGTATAGCAAAATTCCAATTCCATGTTAGTCTTCGCTAGGATCTGTGTTTTGTAGTGAAAAAACTAATCAGAGAATGATCACCCACCCACATTTTTTTAGATGCTGCTAGGCGCACACACTGAGGGCTTTAGTTGTGTACCGACTGTTGTGTTTTCTTTCCTTCGGACTGGTGCTCTGTGTGTGGTTGCCCATGTGTCGGGGTTGTGATGTGTTTTTGGCTGGTTTTTTGCTGTACCTGCAGGCTTTCTTCGACCTGGAGAACGGCAACCAGGAGCTCAAGAGCGACCTCAAGGACCTGTACATCAACCATGCGTGACACAGGAATCCTACTATTTGCTGAAGCTCGGTTTTTACTCGGGCGAGGAAGACATGGAGTACTCTACTTTCTCATCTGGCACCGAACGAGCTGTCAAGACATGGCAGGTTAGTAATACTGCACTCCTGAAGATTATCCTTCACGCTATATTAAATTTATGCTACTTGATGATACGAGCTCTCTTTCAGGCAACGGTAGGAACTTCAGAGAACGGAGTCATGACGTCGGAGCTACTTGAGAGGCTATTCTCAGGGAAGACCGGGGAAGATGCGAAAATGGAAGTGAGTTTAGGCCAATATGATATCATTTATTAATTTAGGCCCTAAACCCTAAACCATGATTACACATATAAATCAGAACGAAATAAATACTTTCGGAACCAAATAAACTCTCCTGTTACCTTCTGCGTTACAGGAAGAGCTGCTTGTAAACTAATAGGTTTTGTACATCGGGATGCATAGAACAGTAGGTTTAGTAGTGCAGTCATGAGTCATGACAGTTGGTTTGGGTGTGCACTGAGATTCCAATTTTCTTCTAGGACTACTGCAATAAAAAACCAGTCAGCACCGGCACTACTGCATCAACCAAGACATGCATCTCCTGTCGAGGTGAAGGGCGCCTCATGTGCTTAGGTAATAAACCCTACTAGTTGCACTAATGTGTACAACTGCATATTCAGCTTCCGTATGTACAACTCATAATCTCTGGAACCTGGACCATGGTACGTAGATTTTTATCAGATACCTAAAATAGCAAGTGTTTGTAGTTCCACTATTCTGAATTCTAACAAAACTGAATGCAATGAAACTGTTTTCAGGCACACTTTTTATTGTGATCTCAATCCCTATTTGATATCTGATGTAAAGTAAGAAATGACATGTGAAACAATAGCTGGCTATCATGCTTACCTTAATTTTTCTCAACCGTGTACTGAAAGTGAGCAGGATCGTTGCATTGCTTTTCACATTGTTGGTTCTTATAACCGTTTAATACATTGTTCATGCCTGAGGTTGTCTTGTCATAGTTGATGTTGTCTGTAATCCACTCTACTAAAACTATGATGAATCTTATCCCAGATGTAACACATTAGTCTAGACAGTTCATCTGATCTTGTTAATCAGCAGTTCAACACAATTCACTGCATCCTTCTCTAGATATTGCTTTGATGCATTCAGGGTAGATTTTGAAGTTTTTCATACTGTTGATGAGCTGAGATTCTTTGGTTGACAAGTATATCATTAGAATTCTTCAACTTACCTACCATTCCTCTTCCTCCTGCCTGTAAACTGAAAGCATGCAAGTTGCTGCCTGTTGACCTCACCCCTCTCCTCTGGTACCAATGTTTAAATTCTTACGTCGTTTAATGTTCTGGTCGAATTTGAATTGTAAATTTAATTTTTTTTAGCGGAAAAATGATTTGTAGGGGGCGGTTGGTACTGTAGCCGCCCCTACAAATCGATTTGTAGGGGCGGCTGGTGTTCCCAGACCGCCCCTATAAATCGATTTATAAGGACGGCTACAGTACCAACCGCCCCTAAAAATCTATTTCTACCAGCCGCCCCTACACCAGACCGCCCCTACAAATGCATGATTTGTAGAGACGGTATGGTAGGGGCGGCTGGCCGAACCGTCCCTACAAATGTCTATTAGCCGCTCCTAAAAATCAAATCTGACGTAGTGTTACCTAAGTGTGTTATTTACTTATATACATAAAAAAATGTCGGTAGCTAACACATTAATTGAGACGTGAACTTGACTATCTAAAACATGTTACGTGCTATCACGTTATATAATTAAATGTCTACGTTATACTAACTTGATTAAAACTAAGTTACATAATCAAGTGTGTACATTATGCTAAATTAATCAAAACTATGTTACATGTAGCCTCTCACGTACATTGGGAACAAATGTTACATGTAGTTATTACGTAAATTTGGGAACGAATACACGGCTACAAGCAATGATCCTATCACGCACGTGGATTCACATGCATACACGCATCATGTACATGGATTCATGCACATGCATTATGCTAATCAAATCATGTCAGTTCCAAAATTGCAAAAATAAAAAGATCTACTACATCTAATAGATCACGCATGCATTAGTTACATCTAGAAAATTATTTTTATATATAATTTTTTCTTATTTATCCTATTTTACAAAATTAAAATTAAATAAATACATATTTCACGTATTACCTCCTAAAAGTAATGTTTCTAACGATAGGATCTAATTAATGAACGGCTCACAATCATTTGGATGCCTAACTAGTTGTATCTTCTCTAGTAACATAGCTTAGTGCTTATTTAATTCACTAGAGTTGTTTAGTAGTTGCTCACCTAGCACTACTGGAAAACTGTACTTTGCCGAGTGCCTGAGACTTTGCCGAGTGCTTTTTATCGGGGCACTCGGTAAAATAAAGCACTCGGCAAAGCCTGGCTCTCGGCAAAACTGGGCTTTGCCGAGTGCTGCGGCACTCGGCATTTTTTTTTATTTTTAAAAAACATATTTTGCCGAGTGTAAGCCTTGGGCACTCGGCAATTTTTTTTTTAATTTTTTAAAACTTATTTTGCCGAGTGTCAGCGCCAGGCACTTGGCAATTTTTTTTTAATTTTTGAAAATCAACTTTGTCGAGTTCCCCTGGGCCGGCACTCGGCAAAGCCTTTGCCGAGTGCCTCCCATGGCACTCGGCAAAATATATATATATTTTTTTATTATTTTGGGCCCAAATTATTTTCTGGGGCCTTGTGACAGTATTTCGAACTCTATTTTAAAATTTGGGGCAATTTTAACTTTTTTTTGATATATTTTATTAGTTTATTTCGTTTCGTCGAATTTTTTGGGATATTTCAAATTTGAGGCTGCGGTACATGGAATAATAGACTTTGGTCATCCAAAATTGATACTCATGATATTTAATATGTTTAGGCCGTATCCGAGGAACTCATATGAAATCTCGAGCATCTAGTTGGCGTAACATGTCGAAATCGCTTGCTTTTTAAATGTGATTTTAAATTATATAAAATGCAAGCAAGTCCAAAAATCACAAAACTTATCGAAACCTGTATGTTATTGCATGTGGAGGCGAGAAGGTTTCAAGGAGGACTTGTGGCGTGGGATGATGCTCTACAACATCTTTCATGTGAGTTCCTCGGATACATGTGGACATACCCTAAATATCATGAGTATAAATTTTGGGATGACCAAAGTCCATTATTCCATGTACCGCAGCTCAAATTTGAAATATCCCAAAAATTTCTACGAACGAAATAAACTAATGAAATATATCAAAAAAGTCAAAATTGCCCCAAATTTTAAAATAGAGTTTGAATATCATTAACAAGGCCCCAGTAAAAAAAATTGGGCCCAAAATCAAAAAAAAATTTGCCGAGTGCCATGGGGGGCACTCGGCAAAGTGGGCTTTGCCGAGTGCCGACCCAGGGGGCGATCGGCAAAGTTGATTTTCAAAAAAAAAATTGCCGAGTAAAAGCTCACCGGCCCAATCCTCGCGCGGCCCAACCCTAAAAAACGCCCCCAGCGACGCCCGCTCGCCGCACCCACCCATGGCAGAGTCAGCCCTATATGTTATCTAGTTACTTTTGTAGCATGTGCGTTGTACTAGAACTAGATAGATATAGTTGTATAAATAGACATACACGGCAACTCAGTAAAGAGAGTTCAGATTTGCCATCTCACAGACAGGGCTTCGGCCAACGCTGGTGTCTTGTATTGTGCGTGCTTGCTCTGTTCTCCTTTCTTTTTCTAGCTTCAGCCATAGTGTGTGGGGACGGACAACGCCTGTTCGTGGTCGGCACGGCTAGTGGGTGCTCGGCAACACTAGCGGGTGCTCGGCAAGACCAACGAGTGGTTCACTCGCCTGAGCCGGAGATCTGGTGGGCCAACAAGTGGTATCAGAGCCGTACAAGCGCCGTCGCCAGACTAACCGCTGGCGATGACGGGCGGTTCGGAGTTGGACGACAGCAGTGGCTCTGCTGTGGCTGCCCAGCCACGACCAGAGGTCGTTGTTCGCACGGTGCGGGAGGTCAGTGGCCGACGCTGACTCGCACCAACTATGGAGAGTGGTCGGTGACCATGAAGGTCAAGCTTAGAGCCCGACGGCTCTGGAATGCTGTTGACAAGGGCACCGACGTGTAAGAAGATGACATGTCAGCGTTGGAGGCTATCCTCGCTGCTGTACCGATGGAGTACAGGGAGCCGTTGGGGGCGAAGAGCTCGGCTAAGGAGGCATGGGAGGCTATTGCGGTGATGCGCGTCGGTTTGGACCGCGCAAAGAAGGCGACGACCCAGCTTCTGAAGTAGGAGTACGCCAACCTCAAGTTCATGGATGGTGAAATGGTGGAGGGCTTCTCCCTCTGCCTGCAGACGCTCATCAGCAAGCTAAAGAGCCATGGTGTCACCATCGACGAAGAGGAGGCGGTCTCCAAGTACCTGCACTCTATGCTGGCAAAGTACATCCAGATCGCTCTCTCCATAGAGACGATGCTGGACTTGTCCACCCTCACCATTGAGGATGTGACAGGCCGTCTGCGGGCAATGGACGAACGCCTGGAGCAGGCGGCGGCAACGAAGGACAGCGGGAAACAACTGCTGATGGAAGAGGAGTGGGCTGCTCGGAGGAACTCCGGGAAGGCAGCCTCCTCCAGTCGTGGTGGCGATGGCAAGCGTCGTGGAAAGGCTTCTTCAAAGAAGAAGCAGGTCGACCCCAACGCCTGCCGGCGTTGCGGGAAGATAGGCCATTGGGCACGAGAGTGCCCAAATCGCAAGCAGGAGAAGAAGGCTCAGGCTCACCTAGCGCAAGCCGATGATGAGGATGAGGCCACTATCCTGATGGTGATGTTCTGTGCACTGCACAACGTCGAGGCCGAGGAGAGAGAAGAGGAGATGATGGTGGAAGGACCTGGGAAGGCCCTGAAGACCGTCAACCTCGATGAACCACGTGCCCAAGTTCACCTCGGACGTGTGGGCGCCGACCAGGAGCAGCGGTGGTATCTGAACTCTGGTGCCAGCAACCACATGACGGGCTCCAAGGAATCCTTCTCCGAGCTCGACGGCGATGTTACCGATACGGTGAAGTTTGGTGATGGCTCAAGGGTGGCTATCCAAGGGCGCGACACCATTATCTTCAGATGCCAGAACGGGGAGCACCGCACGCTAATGGATGTATATTACATCCCACAGCTATGTTCTAGCATCATCAACATTGGTCAGCTAGATGAGAGCGATAGCGAGGTACTCATCAAGGACGGTGTCCTGAGGATTAGGGACTGGGAGCAGCGACTTCTTGCCAAGGTGAAGAGGTCCCTAAACCGGTTGTACCTGCTCGACCTGAAGGTAGAGTAGCCGGTGTGCCTGGCGGTGAGGCACTCCGAGGAACCATGGATGTGGCATGCCCAGTTCAGATATCTCAGCTTCGACACGCTTGGTCGGCTGGAGAAGATGGTCCGAGGGCTACCCCACATCAAGCACGAAGGCGAGATGTGTGACAGTTGCCTGGCCGAGAAGCAGAGGAGGCTACCTTTCCCAAAGGCGGCCAAGTATCGCGCGGAGGAAGCTCTTGAGCTCGTTCACGGCGACCTGTGCGAGCCGATCATGCCTGCTACATGTGGTGGTCGGTGGTACTTCCTCCTGCTCGTGGATGATTACAGTCGCTACATGTGAATGCAACTCCTGACGAGCAAAGACAAAGTGGCGGCGGCGATCAAGAAGTTCAAGACGCGTGCAGAGGCCGAGAGTGGCAAGAAGCTCCGCGTGCTGAGGACTGATCACGGTGGTGAATTCACTTTGGTGGAGTTCGCTGTGTACTGCGTGGATCAGGGTGTGGGGCGACACCACACTGCGCTGTACTCACCACAACAGAATGGCATGGTGGAGCGATGGAACCAGACGGTGGTCGGCATGGCCCGATCCATGATGAAGGCCAAAGGCATGCCGGCAAAGTTCTGGGGAGAGGCGGTGACCACGGCGGTGTTCATCCTCAACCACGCTCCGACCAAGGCCCTGACGGGAAAGACGCCGTTCGAAGCTTGTTATGGGTGCAAGCCAAGCGTGTCCTTCCTCCGAACATTCAGTTTCATCAGCCACGTTAGGAAGACAAAGCCGAACCTCATCAAGCTGGAGGACAGGAGCACCCCGATGGTGTTCCTAGGCTACGCGGAGGGTACCAAGGCGTACCGGCTCTACGACCCACGTGGAGACAAGGTGCTTGTCTCACGTGATGTCGTGTTCGATGAGAAGGCGGCTTAGGACTGGAGCAGTCCAAGCACGAGGGAAGCTGGCGGCTTCACCAACACCTTCATCGTCGAGCACTTGGTCATCCACGATGGTGGAGACGCTGGGGAACAGGTGCCGAGCACTCCGACGATGGAGCCGAGCACTCCTAGGGCAGTGCCGAAGCACTTCAGGAGGGATGCCGAGCACTCCGGGAGGAGGGTCATGCACTCCTGGAGGGATGCCGAGCATGCCAGGAGTGGCGTCGGGAGGTTCTACAGTGGTGGCGACCACTTTAGGACGGGTGTCGAGCACTCCCGTGGTGTAGCCAAGACATCTTGCAGTGGTGCCAACCACTCCAAGACTGAGGCTGGGCACTCCTATAGTGTGGTCGAACACTGCAGGAGTTATGACGAGCTATCCAGAAGTAGTGTTGAGCACTTCAGGTGCTATGCCAAGCACTCCAGCGGAACAGGGAACTCCATCGACGCTGATCGAGCTCGCCTCACCTCCAAGTGACATCACTGAGTTCGTGGACGCCTACCGTGAAGGTGAGGAGGTGCGGTTCCGCAGACTGGACGACATCGTCGGTGGCATAGGTCCTTCTGGTCTAGCAGGTAGGCTGCTCATCGACGCAGAGCTGCTATTCGTCAGTGCAGAGGAACCACCCACGTTCGCGCTAGCCGAGCGCGATAGAAACTAGCGACGAGCGATGCTAGAGGAGATGAAGGCGATCAAGGAAAACGAGACTTGACAGCTCATCGATCCACCTCTAGGATGTCGTCCGATCAGCCTGAAGTGGGTGTACAAGGTCAAATGGGACGAGCTCGGCGCCATTGTCAAGCACAAGGCGCGCCTCGTCGGCCGAGGCTTTGTTCAGCGTGAGGGCATCGACTTCGAGGAGGTATTTGCACCAGTAGCGCGCATGGAGTCGGTTCGTTTGCTACTAGCCTTGGCAGCAGCAAAAGACTGGCGCATCCATCACTTGGACGTTAAATCGGCCTTCCTCAATGGTGAGCTGGCAGAAATGGTCTTCGTCAGGTAACCTCCAGGTTTCGCCGTCAAGGGAGAGGAGCACAGGGTGCTCCGACTACGCAAGGCGCTCTATGGGTTGCGACAAGCCCCTCGAGCATGGAACGCTAAGCTTGACGCCACGCTAGGCGAGCTTGGGTTTCAAAGGTGCGCAACCGAGCACGCGCTCTACACGCGACGATGGGGGAAGGAAGAGCTCGTGGTCAGCGTGTATGTGGATGACTTAATCGTCACCGGCGCACGCACGGAGGTCATCAACAGCTTCAAATGCGAGATGGCGGCTCGTTTTCGAATGAGCGATCTCGACGCACTCTCCTACTACCTCGGCATCGAGGTGAGATAGGGGAAGGAGGAACTCACACTCGGTCAGAGCACGTATGCCTCTAAGCTGTTGGAGAGGAGTGGCATGGTGGAGTGCAAACCATGCGTGACTCTGATGGAGGAACGGCTGAAACTGATGAAGGCCAGCACCACGGCGAAGGTGGATGCAACACTCTACCGAAGCATTATTGGCGGTCTGCGCTACCTAGTCCACACGAGGCCAGACATTGCGTTCGCCATGGGCTACGTCAGTCGCTTCATGGAGGGTCCCAGAGAGGATCACTAGGCTACAGTGAAGCGGCTACTGCGCTACGTCAAGGGGACGGTGAATCATGAGATCATCTTCCCAAAAACCGGCGGGAGTAGGCTGCAACTCACTGTGTTCAGCGATGCAGACATGGCGGGGGACATCGATGGACGACGGAGCACCTCTGGCGTGCTTGTCTTCCTCGGGTCGGCCCCAAATTCATGGTTATCGCTGAAACAGAAGGTGGTGGCGCTATCTACGTGCGAGGCAGAGTACGTAGCGGCGGCCACATCGGCGTGCCAAGTTGTGTGGCTACGCTGGCTGCTGGGCGAGCTGATCGGCGTGGAAGCTCACCCACTAGCACTGATGGTGGACAACCAGCCCGCCATCGCCCTCGCGAAGAATCCGGTTCTGCGCAACCGGAGTAAACACATCGACGTGAAGTTTCACTTCCTCAGGGACTGTGTCGATGGAGGGCAGATCGTTATCGAGTTCGTCGAAACTGGTCGGCAACTCGCGGACGTCCTCACCAAGCCGCTCGGACGATTTCGACTTACGGAGCTGAAGGAGATGATCGGCATAGAGGGGGTACAAGGGTTAGCAGTAGGATTAGGGGAAGATTGTTAGCTAATCTACTGCTACATTGTGTGAACACAGCAAGGGAAGGCGGCGCCGACCTGGCCCCCTGCTGTGATACTGTAGCCGCTGCAGGTGTAGGCGCCGCACGGCTCACCTGCAGCACTGTAGGCACATGCAGTGGCCGGCGCAGAGTCAGCCCTATATGTTATCTAGTTACTGTTGTAGCATGTGCGCTGTACTAGAACTAGATAGATATAGTTGTATAAATAGACATACACGGCAACTCAGTAAAGAGAGTTTAGATTTGCCATCTCACAGACAGGGCTTCAGCCAACACTGGTGTCTTATATTGTGCGTGCTCGCTCTGTTCTCCCTTCTTCTTCTAGCTCCAGCCATAGTGTGTGGGGACGGACAACGCCTGTTCGTGGTCGGCATGGCTAGCGGGTGCTCGGCAAGATCGGCGAGTGGTTCACTCGCCTGAGCCGGAGATCCTGTGGGCCAACAAAGACAACTGGCTGCATCTAATACATTTCCTCGGATTTCATCCTTACAAAGAGATTGCCTTCCTTTGCATATCATAATCAAGGACAATAGCTTATCATTTGAACAGCTCAAAGGTTCAAGATTTAGGCACCATAAATATACCTGAAATGGAAAATGCATTCCTATACACCCCATGCTGGATGAGGGAATTATCTGAAAAGAATAAAGCATAGCCTATACTACTATTGTATCAAAGGCAGGTTGAGTTTGCACGCATTACTGTTTTATTTGGAGCATACTATATATAAATAATCTTCGTACGTTGTTGTTAGCTTTTTAGCCGATAAATGACAATTGATTCCTCCCCGCTTGCCAATAATGGGAATGTGTGGGTCTCCAGCTTTGTTTTTATCATTATGTATATATATATATATATATATATATATATATATATAGATCTTTTTTCCCATCATGTTTTTTTTTGGGTGATAAACATGCGCAATGTAGTGTGCTTCATTCAACAGATAAAAAGATGGTCACCAACGATAACTATATTTCTCTATGTTTGACACAGAGAATTTTTTTTCATCCAAAAAACTATAGAGAAACTTACAGTAAGATTCCCAGGCATCATAACATTGGAGTCAAGACACGAAAGCAGCACTGAGTACTACTGTAGGTGCAATAGTCAGAGCAAAAGACGGAAAACAAGATTTACAGTGACACGACACATTTCATCCTAACGAGTGTGCCAAGAATGAGCACGCCATGCAATTGGTGATGATGCATGGTAACTAGCTAGACCAATACAATAAGACAAGGTGCTGTCATTTCTTTAGCAATTAGATGAGTTGAAAGTTTTCCCCTCAGAAATATAATGCTGGAGCACATAAGTATAATTTGAAAACAAAGTGCAAAAATATAATGTGTAGAATTTCTCCTTTTCTCCCACCAAAAGGATATATTTTCAATGAACTCGCAGCACATAGATCTAGCTATAAGCTGCTTTGACAATTCTATCAAAGGCCGACACTGCACCCTTTTCTACAACTCCAAGTCACTCTGACACTTGACATAGCCAACTGTAGAGTGAAATGAGATTACTGGTTGCAAGATGATGTGTCAAATCAAATGAGATTATAAGCAGGCATAGGCATGGCATCCTAGAATTCGATTCAAGGTCGGATGGCTGTGCCTGTGCCTGCCTTGGGCCTAGGCCGGGCCATGGACAAGAGGCCTATATATAGATAGAAAGCGGACGCCGTGATGGGCTCCGCCTCCGGCTCCAAGGAGGGGGACGAGTGGGTGCTCAGCCACGGCGACGTGGTGCTCATCCGCTCCGACCTCGCCATCCTCCGCGGGCCCCGCTTCATCAACGACCGCATCATCGCCTTCTACTTCGCGCACCTCTCCGCCGGCCTCCACAGCGACGATATCCTCCTGCTCCCACCCTCCATCCCCTACCTCCTCTCCAACCTCCCCGACCCGGCCTCCGTCGCCGACCCGCTCCGCCTCGCCTCCCGCCGCCTCGTCCTGCTCCCCGTCAACGACAACCCCGACGCCTCCGTCGCCGAGGGCGGCGCCCACTGGACCCTGCTCGTCCTCGACAGCGCCACCAGCCGCTCCGCGCCCTGCTTCGTCCACCACGACAGCCTCCGCGGCGCGCCCAACCTCCCCATCGCCGCCGGCCTCGCCGACGCGCTCCGCCCCCCTGCTGCAATGTGAATTGTGATTCGGGCACTGTTCCACTCGTCCAGGGGCAGTGGGGCACACGCCGAGGCAGACCAACGGGGACGACTGCGGCGTCTACGTCATGGCCATCGCCTGGGCCATCTGCGCCTGGTGGTGGTGGAACGAAGCCTAGGACCACCGGGGACGGGGAGGGGATTGGCTCGAGGTGGTGAGGAGGGAGGTGGATGCCCGCAGCGTCAAGGCCATGAGCACCGGCCTGCTGCAACTAATCAACACCCTCATCCAAGAGAAGGCCAAGCCCAATTCCATATCTGAGGGAGACACTATCAGATTGATAGGCAGTAGCTTAGTTGCTGCTAGTGATTTCTTAACTCTCAAGTCTGGTACCCCCTGTTGATCTTAATCAAGGGTTCTCTTGCTATGTCGCCTTGTTTGTGAAGAAGAAGAAGAACTGGTAGAGCATACACACTTTGTGTAAGTAGTGAAGTCTAAGGAAAATACATCTGTCCATGTGAGTAAAGTTTTGGCAAAACCCAGTAGCAAATTAACTATTACTGATCATGATCAAAATGCTGCGACCTCACCGTGCTTATGCTTGCAAGTTTGTTGAGTTTGAATGGATTCGTGTTGAAGTTCTATGCCATTGGAGTTTGGATATTAGTCCAGTGCAGGTGTATTTGGATGACAATTAATTAAGAATTAGTTGATAAGAGCGAAATGGTTGGTTGAGCAGTTCAAGTGTTGTTTCCTGAAACTTTGTATTCACTGGAATTTTAGAACTTGAGAGCTACGTTAAATGTGTTTACATGTTTGTTACTCAAATGTTTCATTGAATATGCATATTTTATATTGTAAAACATGCAAGTTTCTAGTATTATCATTCTAGAAACACCTGCTGTTCAACTAGGTAATCCTGAACCAGTTCTAGTTGAGATGTATTATATATGTTCAATTCTAGTTTAAGCTTTCCTTGTAGCACCACTGATCTTTTGCCTTTCTGTTGGCACGGTTTATTATCAAATGTGTTTTAATATTTTACTATAATGAACACTATATGTCGGTGCGAAAAGTGACCAACAAGTAAATATTTGTACTTTTGCCGTGCATTGTGATCAGATGTGACCTAGCACTCAATGACACATGATTTATACTGGTTCAAGCAACGTACCCTACGTTCAGTTTCACTCGGTCGGTGACTTTATTCCTGAGCCCAGGTGCTCGAAGTTTGCTTTGGGGTACAAACGAGTAGGAATAAGAAGGGGGTGTTAAAGGTCCGGTCGGACTCTAAAAAGAAGGGCCGAGAGTGACGGGGGCTCTAACGTGCGCTAAGTATTGGAGTGTATGCTCTGTGTAGCTTTAGAGTTCTAGAGCTATTGAGCTATTCGAGTTCTCAGGTCCTCGAGTACGTCCTCGAATCGTCTAGCTTCTCTTTTTTGAGAAAAGCCAGAGAGAAGTTTTTAGGAGATAGCTCATCCCCTTTTATAGTCGAAGGGGATGGCCTTACAAGTCAGAGAAAGAGAGAGAATGTATACGTGTGTGACCTACTCTTGTTGCCCACGCTGTCGGGTACGAGATGGTCGTCGGCGCCTATAATACTGTTTATGTCCAGATGCATATGGCAGGCTCCACCGTGTTCGCCTGGTATGGCAAACGTCGGCGCCTACAATACTGTTTGTGTTCTGACAGACCTAGAAGGTTGCATAGTGCCCATCTGGCATGGCCTGATGGCACCGTCCTGCAGGTGCGTAGCGTATGGCAGGGTACGGTCCTCAGTATTGCGGTTTGACTTGAGCGTCTTACCTTATCTGCTCCGCCTGATCCCTAGGCCCTCACCGAGCGGGCGTCCCCGGTCGGTCGTTCCCAGTCGGCCCCGACCGTATCGGTCGGGGAAGAGCCGCAAGCAGAGGTCCGGCATATCCCCGGTCGAAAAAGGTGGTTGGAGTTGGACTATGTCCTCACCTTGGCCAGGCATTCCGGTCGGGGACCAGATCGTTCTCCTGGCCTATCATTATATATCTGGGCCAGCCTGGGAGGTGCGCGTTGTCGTTACGCCGTCTGATGGGCCAAGTTTTTGGAGGGAAGCGGGTCCATTGGGGACCTCGGGTTTATAAACCCGACAGGAGCCCCAAGCCCTTTTGAGACTTCTATGAAGTCATGAAGGGGTTGTTTACACTCGTTTCACGGAGCGCACCCAGTGGGTGTAAGATCGTGGGTCGCCGTCGGACGAGACGGAGCGCAAACCCGAAGTGTTGGGTGAGACGGAGCGCCAACCCAAGTGTCGGGCGCCAACCCAAGCGTCGGGCGTGGCCGAGGGGTCGGGCGAGACAGAGCGCCAACCCAAGTGTCGGGCACTGTAACACCTTGGGTGTTTAAATATTAAAAACCGGACATATCATCATATGCATTGCAAGGCATTGGTCATGTTGCAAATTTTGTTATGCATTCACTAAAACAAGTTTACATTTATGTTATAAGTATTGCTTGGTATTGTTTGAATCAAGTTTGAAATCGTTGTATTGATTTGAAATTCCGAAAACCCTGATTTTCAATATTTAAATCCGACCCTGAAAATCCATTTCAAAATCGAAGCACATTTTGGGGTTGAGTCTTAAAGCAAAGTTGTAGAGCTTGTCGAGTTGTACAAAGTTTATTTTTAGAGTTTTTCAAGTTGTTTAGTAAAATTTGAAGTTATTTAAAAAGGCGAAATTCCTTAAATATCCCCGTTTTAAATTCAAAAGTTCATTTCAAAATGTAGGCTGAATTTGGGTATGGTTTCAAAAGCAAAGTTGTAGAACTTTTGATTTTGAATAACTTTTGTTTTTGGAGATTTTTGAGTTATTATTAAAATTTGGGAGTAATTTGGGAATTTTGGTGGATGGCAATTCTGTAATTTCGATGAACAGTAACCGCGGAAGACAACTCATCGCCGGCGATCTTCGGTTTGCTTCCAGGCGCGGTCATGGCCGTTTTTGGCGTCGCACTGGCGCGGTGAAGGCCACAGCGCAGCTTCCTTGAGCTTCTGAGCCGTGTTATTTGGACCGAGGCGCCGTCGTCATCGTTCTTTCCTCTCCTCTGTTTTTCTCCCGCCGTCACCGCCATTCTCCGTTGAGCCCTCACCGTCGAACCAGCGTCTGCGTCGTCGCAGCGATGCGTGTCCCAGCTCCGCTAGTTCCTTGCGCACCCAGCCAGCTAGCTCTAGTCGCTTGATTTCGCCGTGAACTCGCCGTTCATCGTTTTCTTCCTCGCGGCCGGCAGCACCACCGTGGTGTGCGCGTCGCCGTGGCCAGCGCGTTACGGTGAGCCTCTGCTATTTCTGACTCTTGCTTCAGCTTCGCCTCGATGCCGTGGTGCTTTGTGCCCGGTTGATTGACCATTTCCTCCACCGCAGTCGCCGGTTCTTCCTCATCGACGATCTTTGCTCCGCCGTGATCGCTGTGACCGTCGAACCGTGTCTCCGTTGCTTCTCAGGCTCGGCCAGCGACTCCAGTGTGTTCGGGGTGAGCTCCTGGTTCTACCCGAGTTGTTTGTTTCATCGTTACCGAGCTCCTATCGCCGGCGTAGCGCAGCCGCGCTGCCGTGTCAGCCATGGCCGCCGTCGAGCTAGTATAGGGCCGTAATCAGTACAGATAGGGACGTCAATCGATGCGCCTAGTCTTGGTGATCATTTTAGTACCTTGGTCGTCGCCGTTGGACTCACCATCGGCGAGGAATCGCCGGTCAGAGCCGTCGCTGCCGTGGTCAACGTCGGAGGTTGAAGATGACAAGTGGGACCCGGTTGTCAGTGACTCAGCGTTCAAAATGAATTTTCTGTTTTTCAGATTTAAATGAATAGTGTCTGTTTTTGTTATTTTTGTGTAGATTTATTTAGAGCTCCAAAAATTATGAAAATTTTTGTGTGACTTCTCTGTGATGTGTATTATTTAGGAAAAATATGAAATGTTGATTTTCAGTAATTTTTGAATGTGATAAAAATTGCTCAATTAATTAATAAATGAGTTTCCAGGATTTTTCTAGACTTATTTATGCATCCAAAAATTATGAAAATTGTTTTGTCACTTAGTTATCATGTGATGAACATATACAAAAATTTTGAGGTCAATTGGAACAAGTTGATTTATTTCATAATTATTAATTAATTAATTCATTCATAACAGCAAATAGTAACCTTTAGTGATTTAGGTTTTGTTTGAGTTTTTGATTAAGTGATGTCCTTGGGTCATTAGTTGGTAATGATACTTGGCAATTGTTGTGAGTGTTGCGAAAATGGTTTAGTTGGTTTAACTTGTAACTGTACCGCGAAGGAAAGTTGTATTCAAGTTGTTAAGTTTTGCATCCATCATCGAGCATCATATTTTGTATCCGCATCATGTTAAGCATGGCATTGTTACTACGTGTAGTGAACGAAGGTGAGCACGTGATAGTTAATCAAGTAGTTGAGGAGGTTGATCCGTCTGTGGAGGTTGGAGTTGATATCGGTGGAGCGACTCCGGACCCGGACTTTTCCGTCAATGAAGGCAAGCCCCGGATGCATACAACCCTACCTTGTATTTTACAAATTGATTTCGCTTTTGCTTCTTTTTACTGCATTAAGTGATTAGGAGTCAAGTAAAAACCAAATTGGTACCTTACCAACCTTGTTATTCCATATTTACCATATTACCAGTTTTAAATTCATATATGCCAGTTTTGCTTAGCTATGCTTAGAACGGTGAAAGTCGGGTGATTACCTGTCATCTGCAAGTTTTAAATGGAGCTTTGGTTAAATATATTAACATGTGATATGAGAATGTGGAGTAATAAATCTAGACCAGGCGGATTCGGTGTGTGTGAGCCACAAGACATGGAGGTCTTGTGAGCAGGTTCTTTTCGCCTGTGTCGATTAAGGTCCGTCCGTTGTTGAATTGCATGAGGTGAGACTTTGTAGTACTAACCACATACTTCGGTAAGCCTTAACTTGGTTATTCTATTATGAGAATGGCTACTCGCGCACTGGGAGTGGAGAGATGGCGGGAATAGCGTGTACCCACGTGGCA